ACGTTCTGTGATTCTGTGATTCTGTGTATTATGCCATTATTTCATCTCATGTCATAAACCACCATTTTCTGTTAAACACAAGCTAGCTCTGTTTTGGGAATCTGTCTTCTTCAAACTACCCACTATGGATGTGCTGCACAGACCTCAACTAAACCCAAGCTTAAGAATGAGTATGAGCACCATGTCCATTTCTCCCCACCTCAGTCTGGACACCTCCATAGTAAGAAGCTGCAAAAATTACAGATAAATCACCTCACTATACAACTGGAACAACTGGTTGACTGCATGTTGGATGTAGATGCTTCACAGTTCATTCAACTGGAGCATGCCAAAATCACAAGGTGGAAAAGACATAATCTAGGCAAACTCTATGCCACAGCATTAAGATCAAATAGGTATCACACAGCCTACAGGACTGCACAAAAGTCAGCATGTAAGCCCAAGGAAAAACCACAGATTTTGCTGTTAGCCTTAACTGCTGCTAATATATCTTCTACTTTACTCACTTGGGTAAGTAACAGCCAGTTAGACCATCATGAACCAAGCAACAGACATGAATAACAAAGATACTGCTGTCAAGAGGCAGGTGTAAGACAATTTTATAGGACTGATGAGATGGACATAATGGAAAAAGAGAGGAGAAAAAGTGCTACTTTCTCCCTTTCTTTACATGCTTATGCTTTAGGATGCCAGGAGAAGGAACAGAGACAGCACATTGTCCTGGCTCTGAATTCCCCTCGCCCGCTCCTAGGTGCGAAATCCCCACAGCTCATACAGAGACGGCACAAGTGTGAGAACGGGACAAGGATGAGGGATGAATTTCCCCGCTGCTCTCAGCCTCAGAAGTGTATTGCAGTGAAATTCTCCCTCAAAAAAAGGACATCCTGTATTTTCTAAATTATAATACCCGCAGCTCAGGACTTACGTGAATTAACCATATGCACCAAAGGCCAGATCTTGGCCCTGATAAGGCTGATTTGCATTTTGCATAACAGCAGCTGGGGATTCACCTCCTAACAGAATTCTCCACAACAAAAAGGCACCAGAGCCACTTCCACGTTTGCTTTCTTCCACCCATTGCTCCAGTGCTGAGCCCACTCCAATAGGCAACAGAAACTTGCAAAGTTTCAGAACAGACCAGCCCCTCACCATCCTGAGAGCCGAGGGAACACAGAGATATCAAGTCCTACTTGGTATCTTCTGCTGAACAAATACAGTTGCTGGTGGATCTGTGAGTCTGCTCTTAACACTTCTGCCTGTATTACTTTTCCCCTAAAAGACAATCCAACTTAAATTAAAGCTGTAAAGAAAATGGCATGGCTAAGCTGACATTTTCCACTGTTCTGAAACTCCTTAACTCCCTAAAACATCTGCTCCACAATACAGATGACTGTACAAGCTCTACAATGTAATTTTCAAACTTCTGACTATTCTGCAGCTTAACCACTGCTTCAGAACCAGAATCTGGGACAAACCAGTATTCCTATAGTATAGTTCTCTCTCTGTAAAATAATACTAACAGTACCCATCCTTACTGAGATCTTAAGATAAAATTCACATTTCAGACTCTAATGACAGGCACAAAGCAAAGACCTCTACACAGTAGCTTAGCTTCAGGAAAAAAATAATCTTTGATTACATCTGTCCCTTGGAGAATTGATTATACTACTTAAAAAAGGGTGCTATAAGTGGAGAAAATGTCACACATTTTATGTCATGCAACCACATGTTATTCTTCCCCTCCACCTCCAATTTATTATTTCGAACCTATCTGAGAATGGTAAGTGCTATAATGAATTCAATAGGTAGTAGTCAATGCTTTAGGAACAGTAAGTAAAGTCAAAAGTAAGTGGCACATGGTCTCTACAAACGCACTATTCACAACACTGATGCATTCTGCAACTTTGTTATCTAGGTTATATTTTCACATCCTATATAAAATGTGTTGTTAAATAGAAGAATGCTTTCTGTTTGACCTCTCCAAATCTTTTTTCTTTAAGCTCAAAACCACTTAGAATCTTTACCTACAAGACCAGTTTCACAGACCTTGTTGAGTAGACATATGCCACATATGAATAGCTTTCAAAGTATTCAAGTTACTTCCCTAATAAGTCTCCTCCAAAAAGCTAACATCCCAAAATATGAAAAACAACTGCCTTTAAACAAACACAACCTTTTTTTAAGTTTAGAAAACTCATGAAAACTTCAAAGATATCTTAGAACAACCAATGAGTCCATTTCATCCTAGATTTTAAAATGAGTACACCAATTTAAGAAAAAGTTATAAATAATAACGCTACTGAAAATAGAATTTTAGACCATCTCTACCTGTGCAGCTCCTGTGATCATATTTGGAATGAAGTCTTTGTGGCCTGGAGCATCCATCAGCGTAATTATTTTAGTCTTTGTCTCGAATTTGGTCATACCCACATCCATCGTAACTCCCCTTAAACAAAGCATACACAGAACACACCATTAAAACAGCTTTGAAAGCTTCAGGGAAAAAAGTAAGCTATTAAAAACACAATCACAAGATTATACATTTCACAGCTTTCATTTGATTTAGCCTGCACAAAAAAAATTGAAAGAAACATGCTTGCTGGAAAAGCAGATGACTAGAGACAACTTTGAGTAACTCCAGTGGCAAAGAAACAAATACTCAGAATTCACAATACTAACTCCACACACCCATAGACTATAACCCAATGAGAACATGAAAACTGTACTGCATATTTAAATCACTACTATTTCTACTTTTAACACTTAGTTCTTCAGAAAAAGGCATCACAGAGTAACAGAAACATAGCCAAGAATTAAAAAAAGTAAGATATGGGACTACAGGTATATAGTTATAATAATACAATAATATTATATAGTATTTACTATATCATATGTATATTTGCAAAGATCCACATGCAGAACTACTGATTATCAAGGAGATCACAGCGTTTTGACGCAGTTCTACATGGCACTAACACCCACAGCACAGCACATAGGACAGGATTCATCTCATCAAATGCAAACACCTATCGTATGTCCACATCTGAGTTAGTCATCTACATCCCTGCTTATAGATTATGAAGTCAGACAGGCACTTTCACGGGACAAAACCAGTCACTTTAGTACAGGCACTTAAAATATGCTACTTCCAATGACAAAAATACCCAACAATGACCAAAAAAACCCCAAGACCTCCAAACATTTACAGATGGCTCCAGAAAGTTTGGGTTTTTTTTTTTTAATTAAAAAACACGAAGTAAAGAAAAAACAGAATCAATCAAAAAGACCAATTCAGAAAACTTTTCCCTCAGTAACTACAACTTATCTTCTGAAGAGAAGTATGGTACCTGAATGCATAACTGCTGGATACTAAGAAAATCACAGAACAAGGGATAGAACTTCTAAGGCTCATGACAATTATTCTACAAACTTTACTTTCTGTTAACATATTACTCTTCACAGGCAATAAATACTTGTCTCTATTTCTGGTTTCACATGTTAGTTACATCCTATCAAAGGTAGCTTGTATTAATTAACATACTTAATATGGTGTTTAATTATTCTATTACAGACCTGTGAAAGTAATTGATCTTTAAAGTTTGTCCATTTTACACCCAGCTACATCTACAGGGATTAAGACCTTTCTCTATTTGCTTTTCCTTGTTTATATCGTTAGTTTATAATGTTTATAACAACACTACGACTACAACATCATCAGCCTTAACTGATGTAAGGCTATTTCTAAAATTTATGTTTGGTTGCTTCAGGAACTGTTCCCCCCTTCCCTGTACCTGCACCACCAATCCCCCACCCCCAATACCTCTCCCCATATACTCAGGTTTGTACGTGGACTTCGTAAATGAAAAAACTCCCATAAACCAAAGTTTAATTATATACAGTGACACTGCAAAAGTGTATCCACCTTTAAAAACAACAGTTACACACTCTATAGGGACTGCCTCACTCGATCTTCTCCAGCATCAGTTTACATTGTGAAGGTTATCTGTGCAACCAAAGAGCTTATATGCTATGAAATCATGGGTGACAAGTGAGACAAGTGTTTGTAAAAATATAAACAATTAAGAAAAAGCCTTTTTTGTCTTTAGCTTCCCATATAATTTTCTTAAAAGCTCTTACAGATTTTTAAGTTAGCTTCACTGCTTCATTACATATTTTTTCAATATGATAAAATTTAAATTTAAATTTCATATCTCAAGTTAATAAGTTAACGGTAGTTTATAAAGAAAACAAATATAATTAAATTACTTTTTAGATTTTATATTCAATATAAAGTAAGTCATATGTGATAAATTGACATTTCAGTGCCTAGTTTATAATTCTGACACTATTTGCTATTCTGACAAATAGCAAAATTTAACCTAGAACTGTCCCATACAATGATAACCAAACAGAAATTTGGCAGCAATAAGCCAGTTAGGCAGCTGTAAATGAACTCACTCTAATACTAGAAGCATTCTGCATTACAGTCCTACACTGCACTCCACAGCATAGAAATACATGAAGAAACATTCAATTTCTCATTTGCATTCCTTATAACCAAGTGAGAACACTGTTTTTGACTTTTGATAACATGTACTCATTCAAAGTATTTGCTAATAAGTACTGAGTAAATATCTTTAAACATTTAGAATATTTCTACCAAAACATTACTAGTAGATTGGTACTTCCTAACAAATGGTGTTCTTTCAGGAAAAAAGGTAATTCCCATTAAAGATATTTCTACCTTTCTCTTTCTTCACCAGTTTCATCCAAGACCCATGCATAGGCAAACGAAGCTTTGCCAGCCTTCTTAGATTCCTGTTCATATTTGTGCATAGTTCTCTTGTTCACATTTCCCAAAAGGTAGAGCAGATGACCCATTAAAGTACTTTTACCTGCATCAACATGTCCTATGGATGGAAATAAATATTGTATCAATTTTTTTAATTTCTGCATCTTAAATATAGTACAGGAAGAAATATACTAAAACACATTAAAACAACGTGCATTAATAATGCTCATGCAATCCATACAATTTGACAATCCTGCAAGAAAAAGATGCAGAGGGACAGTTTATTGAAACAGGCAATTAGCATGACAGCCATACAGAACTTCCAAATTCATACTAACAAGAACACATTGCAAGAACAAAGCCAAACCAAAGAACATTTTGCTATACTGTCGAAAGGGAGCTAAGTCAACCTCACTGTCCCAGTCAAGGATGTCTGAACATACTCCTTCCAAAGAGCAGCAGTCAAGCAGACACAATTGAACACAGTATTAGATTTCCCCTCTCTGGAGAGAGGAGTTTTGCTTCTGTATCACTTCCAGATTCAATCAACACAGGTTTTAAACCTCTCTGTCAAAAATGTAATTTAACAGTATTACCTATCACCACCAAATTAAGTAGTTGCTTTCCCCCTTGCCTCTTCTCCAACTCCGCTTTCACATCTATTTGTGGTTTTGTCTTGCTTGACTTTTTTACTGGAGTAGGCACCGTATTCTGCTCTTCTGAAACCTGCACTACTTGGGGTGGAAAAGTGGATTTTGAGACTGCTTCAAGTACCCCAGAAGCCACGCTGGCATCTTCAGTTAACAGTCCTTTCTGAGGTGCGTTAGCATGGCCATTTTCTTCAGCAATCACACTAGCGAGAAAGAGAAAACACAAGGAATGCAATTTACAAAGAAGCCTAGAAATATAGGAGTGAAATTGAGTTTTCCCTTCACTATCATGTAAACCCCAGACAAAGAGTATGCAATAAGCCCATTAAGGTGGAAGGGATAAGCAGCTGGATATAAACTGTGCAGACACCAGCTCTGAATATCTTGTCTGAAAAGCACTGTGCACAAAAGCAAGATAAGAAATAATCTTGTAAAATACATGAACCTGATGAACAAAAGCTTCCCACAGCCACTTTTTACCAGGGAGAGAAAGGACAGTTGTACAGAACAACTACAGAGAGCTGGTTGGCTCTGAAGTCAACTCTGAAGCATCAATCCTAAACCAGCTGCCACATACGCTACAAGTGTTGCAGCTAAAGGCAGTGATGTTCTATTGCGAGAGCAGCAATATAGCATAAAGAGTAGATACAAAGCATATCTGAGCTGCAATTCAAAGTGTGATGTATATGTAGAGCCATAACCAATGAGCTACATTTATCAACTCTGAGCAAACTTGTTTTACGCACAATACAAGGCATCTAGGATTAAGATTTGGATTCCCCAACTCCCCTTTCTCTAACAGCCTGTTCTTTCACAGATCACCACACTAATCCCAACAGTAAATAATCCTTAAATATATTATTCTATTTCACTCTCACACTTTCTCTCTGATTTGTAAATGAGGATATTTTCCTAATTTCACACAAGCATTCTGAGAATATGATTCTTCACCTGTTATGGCAAAGATGATCACTAAAAACAAATGCTAAGTAATATCTTCAAGAGAGCAAAAGCCTTCTTACTGCCTGACAGAGCTCCATAGTAAGGCAAGCAGCAAGACCGGAACAGAAGCAGTTATTACAGATGCAACAACATTATATCGCAGCAAACTTCAATGTACAAATAATTGAAAATATTGAAAGGTAGGTATACTGAAAATACCTACAAAACACTGTACTTAAAACTTTATCCAAGGAGGAAAGGCTTCTTCCCCTGGAAAACTGAAAATCCTGATCAATGCAGTACCACCATGCTTCAGGCTGCTTTCTATGGAACAGATTCATGCAAGCTTTCAGACTCAAATGTCTCCACGTTCAGTATGAATTTTTCACTCTCCACTTTCTGTTTATGTACCACAATTAACCTCCCAGTTTTCCTCTTTTCAAATTCTATAAACACAACTACTTATTTTGGTACTTCAGAATCCCACATTGTGACATCTTCATTTTAATTTGATGGTAGTTCTCGTTTTCTGCCTGTATAGGAATATTTGCATTGTATTTTGTTCAGCTAGGTAACGATTTCTTTCCTAATCCCAGAAACTCAGATCTTCTTGCAGGCCAAAGTTATTTCAGTAAGGATTCCAAAAAACAGCATGGATGCCAAGTGGTAGAATTCAAACTAATTACAGCATCTGGAAGAATCACTGTTATTGCCAGACAGAATAACTAATCTCTCAATTCTATGTAGCTTTTATTGTGACTACCACTGCTTAAGGTTGCCAAACAGTTTTTATTTTGGGCGGTCCAAAGAAAAAGTGCCAGATACAGTAGTGAAATGATGAATGAAACATGACTCTAGCCATCATAACATTAGGCCTTGCAACTTTTTCGAATGTGCAATATCTTAAAGAGTTTCCAGTAAGCGTCTTCCACTGAGATTTTTCAAAATTATTGCATGTAAAATTCCTGTCAGAAGACAGAGCATATAGGATAGCATACTAGTAACTAGTAGGTCACTAGTGCAGGCAGCTGAGGGTATAAACAAGTCGATTGCATTAACAAGCATCTTCCATAGCAAAGTTCCGACTTGGCCTGAGTTATGTTGAATCACTGTATCAAGACAAAATTGTATCTGGAGGAAGAGCACTTCCTAAACCAACTGCTTGTATCTATGTATAAGAACCTGATAGTGCTACCAAGAGAAGCCTCGGTTTGCCAACACCTGTGCCTGTTTGCAACATCACTGTTAGCCACTAACACGGAGCGACTGAAAAATCAACTCTTGGCTTCTCAGAAAGGACAGAACCATCAAGCACCTTGTACGTGCACTGAGGTCATGCACTCAAGAAAGCTTGACCGCCAGGAAATCAGGCAGTGTCAAAAAAGCTTACCACAGCTTTTAGTTAGGAAATCAGCAGACATACATAAAGCTGGCAAGGACCAACTTTTTGTCAAAATTAAAACCACTAAGTCAGAAACTTCCTATGCTGTCTTGCCAACAAGGACTGTAAGAGTAAACTGAATAAAATGTTACGGTTACATCACTGTTTTCTGGGGAAAATTAAGAAATAGAACATATGTTGTTATAAGACAGTAGAAGACACTCAATCTCACACAACTGTTGAAAGGTTCGCACTACCACGCATTCAAAGAAGACCCTGAAAGCTTATCTGGTGAAGATTAACTCTGCACAATTCAGCTTTTAAACATTATTTTCAATCTTCTAGGCTGGACGCTTACTGAATTATTTTTATACAAGCGACTCTTTCGGAGTACTTACAGTCATTACAGGAATGTCTACATTTATTTCCCCTTTCAAAATTATTAATTACACAATATTGGTCAGGCTGGTTAAAATAATCATGCTTTTTTGCTCACAACTTCTTCTGGCTTCCTTCATGACTTAACAGGAGGAAAAAGCCTGCTAAATAGTTTTGCTAGAGCATCAGAAAAACAGTTTGTCAGAAGAAAGCAAACTCCGTTTTCTGTAGATAAAAACACTAAGAATACCCAGCAACAAAGGCAACGAATGAATGCTTAAAGCAATTCATGATTTCTAATAATCCGTTCACATTTTCAGTAAGATTCATTTATTATTATGAGGTCACACCTCATAACAAGATTGAATCATGAAGACTGAATGTCAAAGAATGGTTATTTTTTGCTAATGCTAGGCCACTGGTTTTAAAAACATGGTCCAAGAATTACCTTCAAGATCCCATAAAAGGTGACAACAAAAACTAGTTCATACATACTATACAGTCACCTCCTAATGATGTCTGCACCACCACCATACGAATATTTGGGACTGAGAGTAGGAGCCACAGTTACAGGTGCTTTAGAATCCAAACTGCTATGAATAATTTCTAACACTGTGCTTTTGTGATATAAACGATGTACTTAGAAATCTATATTATTATAAACCCTCTGCAGTATGTTTATCAATGCAACAATAACATAAAAAGTGTCTGAAAAGAGTCAAAAGAACGAGCCTTTCTTAGGTGTTGATAAACAAATTCACTCTGGTACCTGACAACCCAACCTTATGCTGTCAGTAATCCAGGAGATAACTTCAGAAGAAAAAAAGCCAAATCTGATGGAGTCAGGGCAGGGGTTCGTGTTTTGTTTTGTTTTTTAAGTTTCGAAATAGATGTGTACGAAGTCATTACAAGCTTGCAAGACAACATGAGCGCTTTAGCTAACTGCAACATATTTGGCACAGACTTTACAGAGACCTTGGAAAGGATTTAATCAAGCTCCAACTGTTAGGAAAGGAATCAGGAGAGCAATGCCACTGTCCTACAGCAGAGAAAGAAAAATATGATGCAAACACGGTCAAGTCCTCCTCCCTCATTCTTCATGGCAATGTCCTAGTGCCTTGGCAGTGTCTCCACAGTGATCTGCACACAAAAGAAAGGAGACCATCATGGACTCCTTGAAGCAGGGGTCTCGAGTGCTGAAAACTTTACAATTTAAACTGCACTTTCTTCCATATTCAATGATTTGCTGTGCTCCAAATCTCACGCCCTTTTACAAGTTGATCCACTTCTTACCTATTCCTCCTACCTAAAGCTAAATGCCAAACTTGCATCCACATCCAATTTTTACAGCAAAAGAGGCTTGTTCTCAATTAGTATTTCAGCAGTACCACTAAATTGGTGAGCTGAATTAAAAAACATTTTCACAATATTGAGGATTTATCTAAAAGGGTTACCAGCAGGCCTTGAAGACTTAATTTTTTTCTGTGGCAAAAAACAGTATGTCACTAAACTGGAACACGTATGATACAAACTATTTCAGGGTCTCTGAAGAGAAGCAGAGTGACTGAGAACTATGTTGGAGCCAACCATCTTTCCTCAGAGTCCTCACTGCAATGCAAGAATTACTCCAGCCTGCAGATAAAGCTTATGTTATCTCCTTCTTATGTCCTTCTTCCCTATGGAGCAGGCACACATACACAAGGTGTGGCTGTTGCTAAATAAGTATCAGAGATACGAAATTCTGTACTTGCTCTTTTTTTATAAATAAGCATTTTAAATAAGTAACTGCTATCCAGGACTAGCTGGCAGATTATTTTCACTCACTTACAATTCATTTCTTTATCTAAACTTCTAACCCAATTAGGTTAATCCACAAAAGTCCCCATGAAAAACTCCAACTTATAAGATGTGCAGTAAAAACACCAGAGATGAAGGTGCCACCACGTTGACAGAAATGTCATTATCAAGTCCAGTTGCCACACTCGGAGTCATTGATTAGTAGAAGGAAAAAAAAGTTCCCTTTTATATATTGCATATTTCAACCAGCACAGAAAGAGGATTTGTAAAGGCTCTGAAATCATTTGGAGCTTATTGCATCCAAGAAACTAAGAGACATCACTTTCATTCAGTGATGGCATTTAGCAGTATAAATGGAATAGTGACATCAGCTTCACACCTTGAATTAAATGTGAGTAAGAGACTAAGTAGATGCAACTGCTTGCTTTTCACTCAGTTATCAAACACACATAAGATCACAAGATACTATAAAGTAATGCCCTCTTACTTCCAAAAATGCTTTCCTGATCAGAACTACAAATACTGCAGGAATGAGGTGGAGATGTTGGCACTGCTTACAGTTGCTATTTTTTTTTTCCTGAGGATGAACTATGGAATTTCTTGCCACAGATTAGATGGCTATTATAAGATTGGGTTTGAAAACAGAATAAGCACATCAATGTAAGAAGAATCCATTAACCACTCTTAACAGAAACAGCTTAATAAAAAATAAATAAAAATGGTGCAGAGCCATAGAATGCTACATGTGATGGCATTTCATGGATTGTATTCCCAACACACATGATCCATCCTTATTTATTTAAGTGCTGGCTACTGTTGTAGGTAGACTCTGATCCAGATGTCTTTTTTCATGCGCTCACGAAACATCTCCCCAACAGTTCCAAGTCAGGTTAAAATCAGAACTACTGTTCAACCACTCTAACTTAGCTAAAGCGTAAGGAGGACTGATTTCTTCTGTACAACAGTTGGACCCTGGACACCTGTTAAAGTTAATAAAAGCTGCAGAGGAAGGCAAAGTTTAGCCATAAGTGATTGTTTTCCCCACAGATTAATCTTAAATGTATTACTTCCTTTGAAGAACAAGCAATTACAGTTAAGATTTATTGATTTCATAATTCCACTTAGAGAACTAAATTTAAAATAAACGAACCCCAAGAAAGTTCAGTATTCTATGAAGCGGATGTTTAAATAATCTGACTAGCTGATATCTCTCTGCACGATTCATAGTGAAAGGATTTGTTGAACTCAAAACGTGAGGTACCATCTTCTGAAAGTAATTCTGAGTCAAACAAGAAGCTGAGATGGTTAGTTCTGGAGAGTGACACTAAAACTGCTGTAAAAAATAGAAAAAAAAAGAAGAAAACTTGCTACAGGTGCATCAGTCTGAAAGAAGAGCTGCTGATGTACCTTGATGTATGAGGGCTTGGCTTACCATGGAACTTCAAATCCCATAGATTGTTTCTTTCCAGACACTGTCATTTTGGTAACTTTTGGCACAATTTCAGATTCCATTCTGGCTGACAGGGAATCCCTTGTTTTTCCTAGTAATAGACAAAAAGTAAGTTTGAACTTAAGGTTGTGACTAACAGGTGTAAATATAAAGTTTAACAAGTTACATTACTTCTGTTGAACCCAAAGATACCAGTCTGTAATGATGAATTCTCACACTTCAGTGTCTTACTTGCACATATTACATATTTATTCAAAATAATCTTCAGCTACATTTACTGTGAAAATCTCATCTGTATCTCCAAGCGCTCATATGACACCTACACCATTCAAAAGCTTTAATCGCAGCAGTTCTGCAGAATGTCAGAAACATATCATGCAATATAAGGATAAAGAAACACTTCGCAGCTGCTCACTAGCTGATCAGGTTAATTCTTATTTAGAGGTTTTTCTTTTGCATTTACACTGTTAAGTCTTAAGGCAACTGTCAGGTAAAAAAATATGTCTACTCCAGCTACCGCCACCAGCAGCACAAGCTATGTGTGGGCTACCAGGCCTTCCTCGAAACCTGGAAACAGAGTTGTCTTGTACTGAATTATGTCAAAGAAGCCAACCAATACCCAAAACAGCTAACTTGAATGTTATTTGGAAATAATTACTGCAGTTGAGTAGCTCAATTACTTTAAAGGTATCAAATTTTACCATAACTTAAATGAAAACACAGTTACAGTAAGGTTAATTCTGAATTTTGTGAAACTACAGTTTCACAACTAATAGCACAACACTGCTATTAGCTTCTTGTCAAGCTGTTAAAAAAAACCACAAACAAAAAAAACCAAAAAACACAAAGCAAAAATTATTTAAACTCCTCAGAGCAAATAAACTAAATTCGCTCTTTTCTTTCCACAATCCCATCTTTAATATGCTAGGATCCCTTCTCCCTTCACGGAAAAAGACTTCCAGCTTTACAGAATGAGTAACAGTGGCTGTACCTTGTGTTCTGAAGAATGTGATACACACAGGAAAGCAAAACAGTAATGTGAATTCAGAATTAAACTGCAAGTTTTAAAAATCTTCACCTACAGATGTATCTGATAACTAGAAAATGCTGCTACTCTTCCAGTAATAGACTAATTCAGACAGTCAGGGTCAAGTGAATACTTATTTTGAATAACAAAATAATCTTTAAATATTTTAGATTACTACTGTACAATGAACTACAGAAATCATTTGGTCCTACTCATTTAGGTTAACTCTTTATTGTGTTCTAAAGTATGACGGCTACACCTTTAAAACCACAGATTCCAGTGGTTTGCAGGTTATATATGAGGATGCAGTCCAGGCCACTGAAGATTTCAGGTAAGGAAACAGTATACCACAGACATGTCTATAACAGACAGCATACAAAAAAGCTGCTGTGCAACTTCTACACAATCACACTATAGACTGAGACATTCTTATTTAACTGATTACTTGGTCTTCATCTCCCTTGTTTGTTTTATCTGCGGATACTCATTTTATTTATATGCCACCTGGAAGAAGTAGTCTGTATGTCTATTATTGATAGTTGGATACCAAGTACACCGTAAATAAGGAAAACCAGTAAGAGAAATAAAAGCAACAAGACAAATCATAGTTTACAATAACAAAAAAATTATGTAACTGACAAAGAGTAAAGATTCAGAACATAAAATTCTCAGATCACTGGGCAAGGACTACTAGTTATGCACAGAGATTTAGTGTCATCTTCAAGCTCCCACACAGATCACCTACAGCATTTTTTTAATAAGTAGTTAGTCACTTGAGTTACAGTAAAATTTACATTACTTTTGTTGCCAACTTGGTATGGTTTTTTCCACTTCAACACTAACAATTTTCAAGCAGCCATCACCTTCAACTGCCAGTTAAACAGGAATGCTTTACATGTCATTTGAAAGCTGAATTACAGCTAATTCTCAGAAAACACCATGTTCAAAATCAGGCTGCTAGGAACTAATAATTACAAAAAACACAATTAAATGGAAATTAGATTAATTTAAAGAAACCAAGACAACAATTCACATCATATAACTCATAAATAACTTGCAACCTATTAGCATATTTGCTACATATGATCCAAAATGAAAAGTCAAAGGTTTTACAAAATACATCTTCTCTAATCAATTTAGAAATTAAGCTTCACTCTCTACAAACACTGTCAGGGTGTTTGACACTGATTCAAAGTTAAATGTACAAGGAGACTAAATCAACAAATCAAGTATTTGACGCAGAAAACACAAATATAAAACCAGACATTAGGATACACTAAGAGTTGAAAGAAGATGCAAAATAAAACTACAAAGAGCGTGCAAAAGTAACTGTCCACTAACAGCACTGACACCTGGCTGTTGCTTTTCTTTATTTATTTACTTTTACAAAGCACTACTACTTCAGCACAGATGGAGCAAAGAAGCAGACCAGGATCGTATGAAGACAAACCAAACCACAGAAGATATCCCGGTATGGTGGTTTTCAAACAGATGCAAAGACAACACGAGAATTACTAGTAACACTACTGACAGAAGTGTCAAATGTAATTTTCTGACTATAGTGCTTTTATAGCCAAGTACAATAAAATCAAGCGGCACGTTTGAGATAATGACCAAGGCACCACTAAAGATTAATAATTATGGGTTTCATTACAAAGAACAAAAGGCCGGGAGAGGAGCATATACTATCTAATCTATACAGCACCAGAGAAAAAGGCACGATAAATTCTTATCTGCTTTAGCAGGCAAAGAAAAAGCTATTTAGCACTTAACAGATCGTATGCAAATCCTTAAAGTGCACCTTGGAACTACAAGGAAGTCAATGCACAATGCTGATACAATTCTTAAGAGAAACACTTCTTAATCAACAAGTAGAGTATCCTATGGCAACTGAAGTCCACTGCAAACCTGGAAAAAGTGTGTGAGCAGAAATCCCAATCTGATTAGGACAAGAGCAGCTGTAAGGAAAATCAGCCTCTGAAGGGAAAGGATATAAAGGATATGAAGAAAGACTTCGTAAACGTTCTTCATGCCTCCTGCCATCTGGACATTCTTAAATAGATACCTAAAGTAATTCAATGACAATATGTTTCCTAAATCAAGAGTACACATAAAATAAAAAACAAAGACAAATACATACAAACTCCTAAAGAAGCCACAATACCTCCTTGGCTTCTCTACTACTCTAGAAATGCAAAAAGCAATTAAAAAAAGACAAAACAGTGGATCATAGGCAAGTATATGCAGTGATTGGGCAATGGTGTCAAACTGCAGAGCAAAAGAGCACATGCCATAAAAATTAAAGAAATTTTCCTTTCATGAAAATAGAAAGTATACATTCATAAATTATAAAAATGTAAAGGCTTGTCAGCATGATAGTACTCACAATTCAGAATGTTTAAAATATGGAATTTCTAGCCCATTTTAAGCAAAGTAGTTTTCAGACATGTTTGGTACTCAGACTGCACTGATGCCAGAGTATCTAGACTAAAGCATATTGTAGCCATGAGCCAATCACTATTACAAAACCAAACTGATGCAACTTGTCTCAGTATTAAATTAGGATGGGCCTAGTACCAAAGGGAACAGAGGCCTGCACTGATGTTACCCGAGTATAACTGTGGCAGTGTGCGACAACTTGACAATCAATGCTCACTTCCCTTCTTTATTGTTCTCCTTGCTTTTTACCTTTCCTGTGACTGCTCTTTGGTCTTCTGATTTGGTCAAAAAGTATTACTAATGACACTTGCCATAACTTCAAAATTATTACAAGTACAACCTCAAATGGCACAATAAAGTATTTGCGGACTGAAGCAGGACATGGACACATATATTTGCAGGAAGCAAGTAAAACAGAGAGAGTCTTTAAAAATCAAAACAGTCTCTCCGGGTGTTCAAGTTGGAATAGCAGAAGTGTATGGATATAGTCAACTGTCTTCCTTTACCATGAGCAACTCCCTAGATTTTGGATTTCCTTTGCAAAAATGGTTGTAAAGATTACCTGTAAGAGACTTAAACAAATATTATTTTGGCTTATTTAACACACATAACAGGCTAGAGAAGTTCTTTTTTCAGGTTTTGTTTGTTTGTATACTTACACTGAAATATAAAAATCAGTCTTTTCTCTAATTCTGTTGGAGATTTGGAAGTTATGTTTCAGTACTTGGAAAAGTTGCTTGTCAGTCTACTCTGTTCCCAGGTAGCTTAGAGGCATACCGAAACAACAGGAGTCTGCTAAACAACGACCATCTCAAGTAAGAAATGTTGATACCAAGGTGAAGCAGGGGTATTGTCATACTTGGAGAAATGAATACTAGCACTGGGTATTTAAATCCACACTGGCTTCATTCGGATGGCCATACCTTTTCAACAACAGAAACAAAATGCCATCGTTTTCAATTCTTACACGCAGAGACTTCTCCTCTCCAGTTGTCTTTCCCTCATCAAACTGTACAACAGTACTGAAACTTTAAGCTCAACTACACCATTGCACAGGGAAGTCTGCTTCTGGTAAGATGAACCAGAAATTTTCTTATGCCTGAATTCAGCTTGAAAAAAGAAGAAAGGAAGAATGTCAACACACCAGGCATGTCTTAAATCCATGCTTTTTCAGATGGCAATCCTATTTAAATAAATGCATGTCTAATCCCCACAAGCTATCCATCTGCAGTTAAAAAACACCTTGGGTTTTTGGTTATGGTTGTTTTGGGTTTTTCTTTAAAACTTTATTGTCGCAATTCTGTTTCAGTATCTTTCTTAACAGCTGCACTGCTACAGCTGGAAGGGTAGAAGTAAAGCACCAAGGGGACAGGCCAGGGCTAAAATGACAGTCTAGCAAAAGAAGGTACACACACAGAACAGCTGCTAACAGTGTATGAGCACTGGCAAAGGAGTGCACCTCCAAGGGAATTACGTGCTAATTAGGAAGACTGTAGCTTCTTTTTCTTTAAAGCTTCAAGTCATTTAATTGCTTTTGAAATTTTTATTTGGTTTATATTAATGCTTCTATTTTTAAACATGATGCTAGCACTTAAAGGAGGAGGCCGCATACTCCTTCAATTTTG